TGTACATGGGATTGGACAGTCACACTGCCGTATACCATCATTAGCAAATGAACCTGTAGTAAGTAAACATATAATTAATAGAACTATCTTTATTTATGTAGTAATTATGTATTGATCGTTGCAGGATATATCACTTAGGAAATTAACTGACTTAAACGCTGTTTAAGTCACCAATAATGTCTGATACCTATTGTATGTGAGGAGTGCAAAATAACAGATTGTATTAATATTATGATGATGTAATTACCATAGGAAATGTCACCTCCTTAAAATCTTAAAAAACAGCGTCTAACAGGTTACTGACACGATGTATGTGTCTCATTCCTCAGATATAACGTTTGTGTTCAGTCGTTGACCGTTAAATACATACGTTTACAACAAATCATGTCTAAATAAATAAATAAATAAATAAATATGTAATAACCGATGGTTACTTACTTTCTGCGATGTATCCGCACACATACAGTTCTTCTGGATTACACTCTGTTGCATTGCCTATAATTAAATTAACTTTAAAATGTAACTTGCACTGCTGTACCATGTGTATTTGCAGTGATTTGTGAGGTGCAAACAACAATCAAATTACTATCACGTGATACTATCACTGTGACAATGAAATTTACAACAAAACAATACCAGTCATACTGAGGACGCGAATAACTAGCAAACAATGAATGACAAAAAAAGCTGCGGGACATTAATGAAAAAGAGCATTAAAAAGTGCCTCATAGCGTTGAGCCATGTCTGGCGGCTATTTTGAATTACAATTTTGTCGAATTACATACAATTGAAGTTGGTTGCCATGCGTTTTTCAGCCTATAACATGGAATAACTTGGCAGAATTGCATTCTTTACAAGAAACGCAAAGCGATAGTACTTTTCATTACTAACTAATTATATACGTATTCTGCACATTGCAAAGTATTTGGATTTACCTGGCATATAGAAATTACGACATCCACATTTGCCAATCAAGTAATCTGTTTCACATTCCATGAGACACGCACTATATGTGTACGTACTATAATATCTCAAAAACCGCTCCGCACACTTTCCATGTGGTGACGGCAAATTGGTCATCTGTAGAAGATATTATGTCATTTGTTTTACGTTCTCAATAATACTTTCTAGTTAGCCAATTTGGGTAAGAAATCATTACCTGTCTTTTTTGTATTCCGATGAGAGTTCGTGTTCCTGGTGCTATAGCAAATCCAGAATCTCTGATCATTGGTATTTCAGTTTGTCCATGGATTGCCAAGCGAAATCCAGCTACTTCACTTGCACCTAGAATGTAGTCCCACTGTTCCAAGTTAAGAGTCACCGTCAATGCGAATCGACTTCCTGTTTCGTGTTACCAATGTGAAAATAGAGAAACATTACGTTGCAAGTCACTATTTTATGTGCGTCCTTTTGACGAAATATTCGTGAATCGACAAAACTCAATACTAGTAGTTAAAGTTGCATTGCCATTCCGTATTTCGCAGAATAACTCAAAATGTTTAATGTAATCACCATGGGAAATGATCGGTTGTTTTGACAGAGACATTGCATGTTAAAGGCACGGTGTCAATCCCGGCGATAGCACCAGGTAACCATAGGACACCATTCTATATGTTTGCTTACATTATTATTCTAATTTTGTTTTCTTATGAAATGTTAATTCAGTGTGTAAATTTGCTATCATATTATGTTTTAAGAGAAGTGCTCCCTTTCTAACTTTCATTTTTGTAACCACTCGAGGCTATTTGCATGTTTGTCGTGCTTTTAAGTTCATTTCAGGAATATGTTAGATAATATTTCCGATGAACTGTCACTAAGCTGTACACAATGCAAATTTAACTGTTGTAAATAACGAAAAGCAATATCTAGTTAAATTTGAACTCAATACCACAAACCCCAATGAACAGGACATTGACTAGCTTTATAAGCACACGCCTCCCGGACTAACAGAAAATCACGAGCCCAACCAATAAAGAATAAAAATAACACAATTACCCAATTATAAGTATCATTCTTAATATAAAACATAGCAACCCGGAACAAACTGACTATTGTCAATCGATGCATATACAATACCTGATAAAATCAATATAATTTATACTAGTAAATAAATGATCACAAACATCTGAGAAAGGTGTCTGATAACTTCGATTATTTATATTTGTTCACTCCTATGGAATATTGGCAATCATGTTTTTTACACGTATAAAGACTAACCTACCTTTAGCCTCTACCTGCAATAATTCCATGTCAATGTCACCAGAATTGAAAGTGTAGCATACACCAAAGTCTGTTAAGGTCATCGTAAAATTATCTGAACTACAAGGCTGTTGCTTCCAAGAACATCTACAGGGGAAACAGAAAAGTGACGTTCAGTATGATTCGGACCAGGTAAGCAATGATAACAATATACCAATATATAATACATAGATGTACGCATACCTTGCAACCATATCCTCCTTTGTGTGAGCTGTTTCTATGCGGAAGGCTGTCATATCAAACCCTTCAAAGTCAATATTCGAGAAATCCGGAGGGTCAGATTCTACTGTGTACACGGTGAACATAGCCGTGATCATATTCATAATGTCGTCTCCATGCGATTGCACAATGTGATTTCTAACAAAAATTGCATCGTTTATTAGTGATGAAGAAATTAATATGTATTGCTCTATTTTTATAACTTTTGCAACGTATGTAACACATAAAGGTCTAATACTGATATAGGATAATACTGGCCATTAAGTAAACAGCATCCAGTGACAGGTTGGGGTTTTCGCGTAAGCAAAAGCTGTGGGATAGATGAGTAGATTTATAATGATTAGGGAGAAATTTATATAAATCTAAATATAAAAAATCAAAGTCTTATTCTTGAACAGAAAAAGCACGGGTGAACTAAAATGAAATAAATTGTTGTCGTGGTTACGACAAAGATGTCTTATGTCACGTTGTACGAAACATTATTGACCAATAAGGAAACCAAAGTTACCTATGGTAGTGTATATGACATCATATAATCAATACTACTTAAAATTGGAGTTATCGTGGGAGGCGGGTGATTAGTAAATTTAATAGAACAACGAGTACCAAATATTGTCTACAATAGTAAATTGATTAGTCCCGCCTAATCACCTTCGATATGCCGATACTCACCTCAATGGATTATAGTTACAAATAGTTACAGCGGGGAAGACCATTTTGTCAGCATACTCAATTTTCATGTTAGTATTGGTTGGCCAAGATTTGAAAGTAGTTATACTAACTATAACTTGATAACTTAACCCGGCGAGTCCAAGGATGACCAAAACCAACCAGATAAATCTGTAACGAAAATATATTGTAGCTGTATATTTTTTATAGATACCAACAGGCGCCTCTACCACTCGTATTGTCGTGCGTGTAAGTGAATACAATTAATATTTCCAGTATGGAAAGTTATTGCGCTATCCCGGTGTCAACCAGCTCGACACACGCACCCATAAGTTAATGAAATGGCATTTATATTATCACCAATTACTTTATATACACATACCCACTGTAAATAAAAATATACGACATTCCTCAAACCATTTGAAATGTAAAGGGGAATAAAAAGTAATGAATATTAGGATATAATTAATCATACAATGAATCTACACTACACTCACATTATGTGCGTATATTTTCTGCGCAATATCAATATATGGCGAAATAGCTGTACATATTTGCAACCCAAGTCAATCTATAGCGGGCTTGTGCATGGCAACAAATAGACAGTTACAATGATGTCCACCATGTCCATAAAACGCAATTGGAACGTTCGTACAAGTTGTTAAGTACATTTTCCTACTTGGTATATAATATAGCTTCATCATCTACTACTTGTAATTCAAACTGGTATTCTTATTGTGGATAAGATTCAAGACACCTACCGTCTAAGTATTCCCAGATTGGGATCTCCAATATACTTAACGCCACCTATGCTGATCTCTTTAGAAAATCCATAAATCAACCATAGACAGGAATTGGACTGTCGCGGTGACACTGCCACGTTGTGCGTATCCTGGTCAACCACGGTGTTGTCACGCTTTCCAACGTGCGATCCATGTAATTGGATTGTATCTTCTCTCACAATCTCTGAGTTTGGATGGACTGAGCTCATTGTTCCTCACCGACAATATCTTAAAACTCAGGTTTAGACTACCGCTAGTAATTATATCCTCATCATCAGTTTATTCTTGATGTTGGAAATATCGTAGTTATGAAATTGTAATAAACAATCCACGGAAAATAGTACTTACCCTAATCAACTTTAAAATGTTGATATGCGCAAAAATGCGGTTGTACACTAGGAACATTCTAGATACATATTTACATGGAACGAAGAACAGAATTTAACAATTGGAAATCGATAAATATTTAAGATACAAAAACAACTAAATGTGAAATTGTCAGACCGAACGTATTTTGTTTACCCAAAGTACCCAAAACTCTTTGCTTATAACATTCATAACATACAATTTCACTATTTCACAGCTCACTCGATACTATAAAAATGAATCTATGCTACTCACAATCATTCTTATCGACGTATGCTGCAAGTGATGTGAGCTGACAAGTCACACAGTCAAAACGTTTCCCTTTCACTCCGTCACTTATTCAATAATTGATGATTACACAAATTAAACATTGTGTTAATGGAATCATATGAAGACTATTGACATTGAATTAAAGTCGTTACTGCACATGCGCCATGTATTTTATTTCATTCTCATTGTTGGATCTATACGTATTAGTTATACTGAGTTCGTGATGGTTATGAGTAAAAAATAAGGTTTCATATATCCACCATATTTTATTTGTTATTTGGAGTAAAGCATGAACTAACACTTGCATATGTGCATTTTATCTGAATAAAGCACCACTTTTTGTATTAATCATATTAATTAAATAGTGTTAAACATGTTCATTGTCTAAACTACAATATATTCTGAAGGCCTCTAATATGACATGACAAGCAATAATGGTTAAGCAGTAGAACTATAAATTGCATTTACCATCCAATATATGTCCCATGGGCAGGTGAAAAGGTTGCACACAATACAGACATTGATAGATATGTCAATATATGTCACATACATTAGAATGAAAATGTTTATTAGAAATTACATTTTATAATCAAAAGCTTTTATATCCCTTCAAGTAGCACGACTTGTCAGGGCCTTTATATCGCCTCACTAATGGCATTCGTGTAGGAACAATGGTATTCTCGTTGGATAGAGCATGTGTGCTTCAAATCCCGCTAAAATGTATTCATTGATCAAGAAAGATAGTGGCCACACAAGATAGTGATATCATAGGTGATGTGTGTCATTATGATTGCCAGAGATGAGTATCACATATTACAATTAAATGTGGGAGATGCATTCGAGGTAACGCAGTGGCACTCTGCTATGAATCGGGAGTAGACAGATCGGTTTATTGGCTTGACGGTGTAAATGGAAATACAGTAGTAAGATGGCTAGGATACTCGCGATACCCTGTTCTTGAACGTATAGCTAAAATTGGGAACAGAGATCTGAACTCTCGACGTCCCGACGACCAGCTCCAATCTCTATTTTAAACAGAATCTTGTCAGAGTTGGTCCCATAATTTCTAATTTAAGATATTATTCCATTTTCTAACAACTGCACCATTTGCATCAAAAGCAAGCAGAGCAAAGTTTTATCGATCGAGCAGTGCAAAATACACACTAAGATTCCACGTGACAATTGTAATATACATACTACACGTCATGTCATTCAAGTATGACATTGTACAATAATTAAAAACATCAATATGAAAAGATGTGACGTAAACCATTAATTAGGATATATAACGTATTCATAATGAATAATTTCAATTGATTTATCCAGCCCAGAATGTATAGTTACTGGTAATTCAGTTGTATTTAGTACAATAGTATTATGAGATACTATTGTTCATTGGTATTCAGTTATTGTTATTTTAATCATCTAGTACAAATATAACAAAGTAATATATAAGGCCTAACCGAAAAATAATTTTTCCGTTCAAATTATTAAGCAAAACAAAACGCATGATCCTCGCAACATTTTAGTTAAAAAATTGGCCAGAAACATTTAAGAAGACTAACACTATTGTTTCAGAACCAACTCCTTTCAATACATTGATGCATCGTTGTTAAACAAAATACCTTATTTGCATAATGTTTTTCAGTGCCTGATTGTTTGTTACTTCTGATCTATTTTGACAGTGATCTTCTACTGCATAGTTGAGATCGGCAATGCCATGAACCAATTTAACTCAATGGAATTAGTGAAATTAAACAGTGTTTGCAGTTCTTACCTACTAACAGTACGCCTACAATATTGTATTACTGGTTATGTAATCATTTTTACTTAAATTTCAACAGAGCAACATCCTGTTATAGTAAAGCGTGTTCCCATATTGTGTGCATTATCCGGAATGATATGGCGTGTTTGCGATCGTCACCTAGACATGTAGACATGTCAAGAAGTTATATGAGTGCATGGAACATGTTTATAGGATGACCCAATATTGTAAAAAGCATGCGATCATATATTACTGGGGCATATGTATAGGAATTGATTTCAAATATACAAGTGTAACGTTCAGATAGAACCTCACATTCCAAAGCAATCATTAATTTGCAGCCAGTTTCTCAGCTTTTTTTTGTGTGTAAACCTTGTTCATCTAATGTAGTAATCCTAAGCAACATCCTTTGGACATCAGTCTCAGTAACAGCTTGCTCTTGATAAGACATGGTAGTAGGATATACAAAAAGGGAGTACCAGTGCACATACCAGCACTAAACTACAATAATCTATGGCAAGATGTATTGTATATATGGATGTATACGTTGACTGCATTATTTTATTCCACATATAACATAATGGTAAATAAAAAAGAATGACAACTTAACAGCTTCGGGTCGCCATTCACATAGCTCTAGGTCAGAACATTATAAAATGATTTTCAAGCTTGGGTGGCAAACAAAAAATGGCAGATGAAATCGAATTGCCGACAGAAAAAAAAATCTTACTAAACAGAAGTTATCAAGATGGCGTCTATTAACCACAACAGAAGAAAAGCTGTTTTCAAATTACTTAATCCAATGGAATAATACATGATCATCCTCTAAATAAGTTAATAATAACAAAATATTGAAGAATTTACAATGCATTACAAAGGTAGAAATATGTGTAATTAAAGAAAGATCAGACTCAAGAAAGGTGAACAGCGCCCTCACACACAAGGAATGGGAAAAGTGGCTTCACACACTCAAAAAGGGTAAACATCAGACATAAGCAAAACATAAACAATATCAATCTTATATCATAGCTATTACTCAACATGGATTACAGTTTCAGATTCAAACCATTATATTATATTATATAACACAGAATAATAACTGATGTCCAAATTAGCATCCAGGGTCTGGTATGCAGAATGGTCCTCCACAGAAATAATAGAAACTACAGCAAGAACAAATCATATCATGGATAAAACAAACATCCACTGCAATATCACAGCACTCAGTATAGTCTCCACAACATCCCCAGTCGTAGCCTCGAATATACCAACCAAGATTGAACTAAAAGATAGAATGATAATTCCGAAAAAAAAGATTAATTAATTTTCTCGAAAAACGGTTATTTAAATAATTGTTATTCTCAAGACTCAAATTATTATCGTTTCACAGTGATCAGAGTATCCCTGACGTCAATTGTTGTTTTCTTTCGGACACATTTGTTATCACTTTTTGTCGAATGATCAGGATGGTTATAATTGTTCATCGTCACATAAACAATACTAGAAATACTTATATTATTATTTGTTTTACCTTTTCATCTTCACAACCGATAGATTTACAGCTGAAACTTCCACATGCCTTCATTCTAGCTAGATCTTCTGCAAGTTCTTGGAGATTCGAGTGTAAATCGTTTCCTGAGATAGATCCAGCTTCTTCCGTGATTATACTTGTCCCACTGCCATCTGCATTACGTTCCCTTCTGATTATACCAAGTTTATCCACATGTTCTTGATATTCTTGTGAACACATGAACACTCCCTGGTGATGATAGGCTTCATATGGTGGACAAAGTATGTCAGCATTATAGGCAGCTATGCCATGATGGCTCAGTCTCACAGCCGCATGACCCACTGAAGAATGATACATGAGCGAGTAATGAAGCTGTGTAAGTTTCACGTTACTTTTCAACAAGTTAGCAAACAACTGCTCAACGACTTCATCGTAATCCTTGACAAGACTCGCAAGAATTATGCTTTTTTGTTGTGTTACTGTCAACAAATCCATGGCGGCCATCTCAATTAGATGTGTTATACCTATTTAATTGAAAGATAAAGACGCAACTTTTATAGATGACATACATAGGCAACAATTCACTTGTTAGTGGTTAAATCCTAATTTGCTGCATTTAATTCTGTAAAAATTTGGTCTATATAGTTCAATTGTTGTTCTTTCAATTGAATTTTGAGTTCCAGAATCGATTCAATAGAGTCTCGGGAGCCTACACAATCAGAAAGCAGCATGATGGCAACCCATCCTTGCACATGCCATTGTAAAATATGTGACCATAGTATGAGAGCTTATAATACCAAAACTTAATGAGAATGCATTTTTTATTTTAGTGGAATTGTAGAGAATACAAATACTGTATGTAAGAATCTCTCGGTACTGATCGCAGTCCTTCAAATACAAGAATTTCGACTCAACTGCTGGTGGACAACACTTAAAACGACCATGTCTTTATGCGACAATCGAAGGTGAAATAATTACATATTTATACTCAGCATGCAACTTGTTTTGTTGGGGCGCCCTCTCAGACATGCTTTCCATCTCGAAAGATTATCAAGATTATTCAGCAATTGTATTTCAATTGGGACGTTATACAGTATGACCAGTGTTGGTATTTAGTATATTTTTATATGTCACTTTACAAACTGTGTGTACCTTTAGGCAGCCTGATATACTAGTATCACTTGGTTAGGCCATGGTTAGTAACCTGCACTGCACTGAACCATTCTAGATTAAAGATGGACACTTATTTATCAGATGTTGTTATTATGTCAATAATGGCGCCTTTGGAGCGTTTGAAG